GTCTTGGCGTATTAGCATTAACATTAGCATTAGCATTAGCATTAGTCTTAGTATTAGTATTAGTATTAGTATTAGTATTAATATTGGTGTAGTGTTCGTATTAGTATTGGTGTATTAGTTTAAACATTAAATATTCGTATTGGAATTGGCGTATTATTACCAATAGTAATGTTGATATTAATATTAGTATTAGAGTATTAATATTACTCATCGTATTAATATTAGGATTAGTATTAATATTAGTATTATTAGTATTAGTATTAGTATTAATATTAACATTAGTATTAGTATTATTATAAGTATGAGTATTATTATAAGTATTAGTATTAGTATTAGTATGATATTAGTATTATTATTAGTAGTAGTATCAATATCAATATCACTATTATTATCATTATTATTATCATTATTAGTATTAATAATAGTATTAATAATAGTATTAATATGAGTATTAGTATTTGTCTTGGCGTATTAGTATTAACATTAGCATTAGTTTTAATATTAGTATTAGTATTAGTATTATTATGAGTATTGGTGTTCGTATTAATATTGGCGTATTAGTTTAAACATTAAATATTCGTATTAGAATTGGCGTATTATTGTTAATAGTAGTGTTGATTTTTTTTTTTTTTAAGTAAACTCAAGTCCATTACAAGGGGAAGTAGGGGAGGGGGGGACTCGAACCCTAGACCTTTACCCTATTGGTAAATGCTAGGTATCAACTCTCCTATTGGGGGTTAGTTAATACTAGTGTTGATATTAATATTAGAATTAAACTACTAGTATTAATCATTCGTAATTAAGACTATGATTAGTATTAATATTTGTATTATTAGTGTTGGTTTTAGTATTAATATTAGTATTGGTATTAGTATTATCAATGTTGGTTTTAGTATTAGTATTAGTAGTTGTTGTTAATGTAATATTCGTGTCAATATTAGAGTGGCATAGGCAATTGTACGCAGCAATGTCCAGAGTTAAAAGTAGATTTGAGATAAAGATATTTATCAACTCAGAATCGGGCGATATAACTAACTTTACGAGCAATGTTGTGTGCACGAAAATTTTTCAGCGAATATGAAGGTAAATCACAAATAAATGTATATTTTGATTCAATAAAACATTTTTTTTGAGTAATATTTACATGTATGTCAATTGTTCAAAGTTTTCGTTCGTTAATAATTTAAAAAAAAATAATTGATCCCGTGCATCGCAAGGGTAAATTACAAGTATAAAGTAATTGAATAGGAAATTGACTTTAAAATTATAATAATTAATTTTTTTTACTATATATTACAATAACTATTTGATAATATTATCATTGAATATTAGTTTATTAAATTTATAATTAGTTTTTAATTATCAAATGTGAAACTCGAATCAATCAAAAAATTATTATTTCATTCGGTTTTTTTATTATTTGTACCAGAAGGCGGAATCCCTCACCCCCAGGGCCCCCATCCCTTGGCCCGATAAGTATTGAAAAGGGAAAAAAAGAGAGGGGTGGGATGCAATACGAGGACTTTCCAGGAATTCATTCATTCTAGTACTATTCTCGCACAAACACACTTCACTTCTGGAATTCAATGCATTAATGCTGGTATGATCGCGCCCAAACATGGGAATGACAATATCCCTAGCATTCCATTCATAATTTATTCCATTAATTCATACCAATCATGCCCTTAGGGTGTCTTCATAAGAATAAATTTATGTATATTTTTGAAGAACATCACGCAACACACAATATAGATATTTTGATTGAACAAATATTATAAGAATATTATTAGTTAACAAATAAAGTTTTGTAATCTCATTTGATAATGTTTATAGCAATCTTATATATAAAAGAAGGAAACGCTGGTAACTCTAAATATCCCTAATGATATTTCTTTAATTATTTATTTTTAATATTTTTTTTCTACTAATTTTCAACAATTATCAATCTCCTATTTTTCATCAATGTATATCAAATCGTAAGAGATAAAGATAGAAATTTGATTTGTTAGATCTAAATTTATATATTTGGATTATAAATCTTAATATGTAAGATTTAAAAAAACAAATGTCGAATAATACTACATTATTAAATTTTACTATGTTCGTGTACTATATTTTCTTATTATGTATTAAATTGATTTTTTTTTTTACTCTTGAAATAATTTCCCGTGCATCGCACGAGGAAAAAATGCTAGTATTACTAATATGGTATTACTTAAAAAAAAGGTTTGGTTGAAAAAAAAAATGAAATGTAATCTCTACTATATTGCGAAAAATTGAATCATTTGTGGAAGCAAACTGAATCTAGATCAAATACCATGAATCTTGTTTCTATTCAAAAACTCCAGGTATTCATCATCTTCGTATTTTCTCTATAATACTTTGGGGCAATAGAGATTAGTTTTCGTTTTTCTTTTCAACCGATATTAGGTTTTGCTCTCTTGTCTTCCTATGATCGTGTCTCAAGGTTGAAGCACCACCGAAGTCATTTGATTTTATCTTTAATATTAATACCATCAACCGTCCATACCTGCACGAGAGGATACAATCATACTCTCTGTATAATGTTTTATGACATAGCTAGCCGTTTTATTTATCTAATTTATTTTCTTGTAAAAAAATCATTCATCACATGTATGTATTTTATTATTATGTTTATTATACACAAAGTCATGAAATGCATGTATTTCACAATTTATCAAAAAAAAAATTATAATATATGCTTTGAACTTATAGTTTTCAAATAAGCTTGTAAAACTGAGATTGAAAAGATCAAGTTACATATGGCATAAGTTAGAGAATAAAAATGAAGAATTAAATCCATTCCCCAAAAACAATTCTCACAAGTTCAAACCATACAAAACCAAAACACCCTCAAGGTGGCTTTAGTCATTCTTGCCATCTTCAACGGGGGGGCGACAGAATGACGAAAACAACCTCGAGTTATCTCCATATTAACACACCAAATAATATTCAAACCATCCATATGTAATTTCACTAATGTAGTTAAGTTGCCTTAAGATGAGATATCTAACAACAACTCATTCAACATAGCAGCAAAAACCTCGTCTTCCAACTCCAAAGCCACCTCTCTATTTTCTTCACATAACGATTTCCACTCCCCTCGTTTTTCGATGTCTTTAATGTAAACTTCCCGGTTTTTCGGAACTTCCCATCCAAGATACAACTCGCGTGGCTTACTTCCTTCGACCCAATTTTCCGCCTCTTCTAACAACTCCTCGTCAAATGATGAGTTCGAACATTGCACGTTTCTTGACATGATTTTTTCTCTAAAAAAATCCGAAAACAATTTGTCCGCCTTAATTACTTTGAGCTCGTTTGATGGCAACGGGCCCATTTTGTTAAGTAAAACCAAAACCCTTTTTTCTATTTTTTCCCCCTCGTCTTCTTCTTCTTCTTGGATATCGGGTATAGCTTTCGAATTGGATTCATTTTCCGAGTTTGGTAGTAATGTGAATCGTTTAGCTAGATTCACCGGCTCAAGCTTAGCAATGCAACCAAATCTCTGAATATTCTTTTCCACCACCTTGTTCTTAGTTCCTATATACATGAAATTCGAATTTTAATTTTTTTTGTGCTCGTCAATGAATTTATAACAATCCATAGAAAGTACCATCAAGTAAAATTAATATTGTCCGAAAAATCACATGTAATATATACAACATAAGAATTCGACTATTAATTCACCTTGAGTACGTGGAAGCTCGTGTTGGAAAGGAGAGGAAACCTCGTCGTCATCTTCTTCAAAAGGACGATCCAGCACCGACACGGGACTGAACTGTTCTTTCTCTTCGTTAACTGACGACCATTGCTCCGGTTGCTGTTATATTTAGTCGAATATACGATAAAATTAAACTCTTAACAATCAGAAAATTATTTTTTTCTCAAAAATAAAAAAAAAAAATCAGAAAATTATTTAATTTGTTTTAAATTAAAGTAATTTATATAATTTCCGACAGGCAATTTTTGCATGATTCCAGACCATATGTAAAATAATGCAAACTCACGTGTATATAAATTAGTATACATAAAACACGTGATCATATAGAAAAAATAATAATTTTCAAGAACATTTGGTGGGTTAAATTTTAAAATAATTGTATTATTAATTAGAATGCTTCTACTGTTAAAAGAAGTAAATTTCAAGACTGGTATATATCGATTGTGTCAACAAAAGTAAACCCCACTACTTGAGTAAAGCAGTTGACATTTGTCGACCAATTCCAGATTAATTTATTTAATTTGAAAATCATAATTAATAATTATTACATTACATACACACTTAATTAGTTTGATCCCACCTAGTTAAATATGTATCAAAATGTTACATTCTATGATAAATAAGATGAAATTAACTAAATTTGGTGCATAATTATAACAACCACTCGGATATCCGTTAATAGAAAACTACCGTGCATAAAATAATTAGGCTTCGTATGGTTGTCAAGATAAGATTAAATAATCTAATAAAACTCAGCCTAGAAGGCAAACTAAGCCATGATAACAAAATATTTGCAAGTCGACCAGGTAAATTAATAGAGATACAAAACATCAAACAAAATTCAATTATTTAGCTAATAATGAATAATCTTGCCAACCAAACGAGTACTTAATAGACTAATCAACATTGTTATTGATGGAGACTAATCAACCACACTTAAAAGTTAAACTTTGACGAAGCATCTACCTCTTTTTTTTTTTTTTTTTGGAAGACGATGGATCACACAATTGGGTTTGTGGGGGCAATCACCGACAAAATTGGTTACACGGTATTCAATTTCTGGTCCTACCCTATGTAATGTTACAATAATAATCCAACGAATCAATATTTATCATATGAAGAAATACAAATAATGAAAAGAAAATATAAATTCTATGGAAAGGGGAATAAATGACTTAACTAAATCGAGTAATAGTTAGAAAGATGTTGATTGCATTTAACAGCCGTGAGAGGGCGTTTGCCTAATTTTATAAGCTGTTTTAAAAATAGTTTATAAGATATTTAAAAGCTTATAAGCTCTTTCAAAGTATTTTATTATTGTTTTTTTAAATCTTAAAAGTTCAAAAAATAAGTTGTTGAAAAACTTTTAAAATATCTTTGAAAAGTGTATTTATTATTTACCCACATTTTCACTTAAGATCTTATAATGAGTATAATTAACTTATAAGCTCATTATTCAATATGTGAAAAATTAATTCTAAAAATAGGACATAACAACTAGTGTAAGATTTTGTCACATCTTTAAAATAAGAGAAGGACAAAGGAGTAAATAAAAATAAGGTGAGTAATCAAGTACGACAGGTGTTGCTAACGGGAATACACAAGCGCGCTTTCACGCCGTTAATTCCGATAGCAGACAAGACGTGGTGGGATCCTCGCCGTTGAAAACCGCAACAGATATTTTTTTATTATCATAGAATCTAGCGTTACTCTAGTTTTTCCCTTTCTAAACCCCACACGTGTGCCTCCAGCTAATTTCCCTCCATCTTTACCGCTATGAAATTTCACTAATACCCAAATTCCTCTTTTAATTTTTTAACCATTTTTCAGATTCTCACCACTATTATTTTACTATTTTTTTCAAAAAATATAAATCAATTTTTTAAATATTTCTCACATCCCCAAATTATTCTACCCCATTCAAATTCAAATGGCAAAGATGATATTGATAACAATCTAATTTACCTCTAGCTACTGAATTTATTTGATTTTAGACCTGGTGAGACACACTGAGTGATTATTAAGCGTTAATCTGCATACAATCACCTGATGTATGTATGACCGAGTTTAACATCTCATAGCATCGTGCTATATTTATCATCTTCGTCTTTTTATAAAACTAATTAAAATACTATCAAAATATTACATCAATATTTTGATATTAAATTGATGTAATAAAATATCTAGAGTGCTAAAAACTTTTGTCTAACTAGGTGAATTTTTAATACTATCTTTCATCAAATATAAAAAAGAAAATCTTATGAAATTAAGAGTGTGGACAAAGGCAGGTCAAATTTATTGAAGAAAACAAATTGAAGGTTGAGTATTAAATTCGAGTTTTAATACGCAATCAAGTTGGGTCAACAACAGACAATTAAAAACCAAAATTAAATTAATATAAATAATTTAGAGAGATATTTATTTATAATAAAATAAAATAAAATAATTATACAAAAACAAAATTACCTTAGTAGAGGAGTGGGTGCTTGCACTACTGTCACTGCTGCCGGTGCCGGTGGTTGATTCCATTGAAACGACGTCGTTTTTCACCTCAGGTAAATTCAAATTCACCGGAGAAGAAGAATTACATCTCGAAATCGCCGTCGTTGATTCTGATGAAACAATATCCGACGGCTGAGACGGATGAGCGTCCTCCTTCAGCAACTGATCGAACGATTTCCACCGTTGGATCTCCTTCTGATTCGATTTCCTCTTCCAAAAACCGCTTTTCCGGAGGATTTTCATTGAGAGGCTCCGCGGCAAAATTGGTTGCCGGAGCCTCTTCTTCTCCGCGCCGCCGCCGACGAAGGGGAGGCGTTTCACGGCGGCGATGACGCTCTGGAGCGCGGAAAGAGCGGATCTCGACGGATTCCTGAGTAGGCACGACGGACTTGTGTCGAAACTCGGGGTTTTTATCCTCTGCGGCTGCTGCTTGTTTTTGAGTTCCATTTCGATTAAGAAACGGACGGTGCTGGTTGTGCAGCATTGCTTTCTGGGGAACGATTTGAAGCCGTTGGATGAGCACGAGCTCAAATCGTCCAACAAGTAGTCCTTCAGCAACAATGCTTTTGGCAGAGAAGCCCTGGGCTTAATCAATCTCGAATCCATCTCAAAATTAAGGATATATATTATATATATACACAATTTTTTTATTTTTTTTTAAAAAAAATTGATGGTTAATTTGTAGAAGAGAACATATTTTCTATCGTGTATGAAACAAAAGGAAGGATTTCTGATGAATGCAAAGTATCATATCTCTGCTTTTGTACTGCAGAGTGATGTTGTGAGCAGAGAAATGTAGCATATGTGTGGAGCCATGTTTATGAATGAAGAGAGAGAGTAGAGAGAGAAAATTGATTTCTTTTTAAAGGGTTAAAAGGAGTGAGAGTGAGAGGCAACTCCTTGATGTGGTGATGATCTCTAGGTTAACATAGGGTGAATTAGAACTCGATTTCTGAATTTCGTCGATTTTGATTTGGTCTTTTTTTTTTTTTCGAATAATATTTTTAATTTACAAATTCGGAAGTTTTGACTGTCGGTTTTTTTGTTTCTTCAAAATAATATTGATCGAAATCGGAATATATATGAAATTCTGATTTTTTTTTTGAAAATTCCAATCATTTTTCAAAATTTATACCTTCAATATCAATATTATTATGTAGTTTATTTCATTAATGAGTTTGAAATGGAATTTTCAATTTCCACGGGTTACGACGCGACAATCCAATTTTGGAATAATTTATGTCATTGTAGTTTTTGAAATTCCGAGTTCTTAGAGCAATTCCAGCAGTAGTGCTAAATTTATCACTTCTTATCAAATTATACACAGTAAATAGTGTTTTAGCACACCACTTTTTCTGACTCACTCCAGCAGTGGTTGTTTATATTCTAAAACATCACTTGATTTTGCCATTTCATCCCCTTGGTGTTTCAAATTGACAAGCCAAAATTTATATTATGCCATGTGGTCTATAATATAAAAGAGCTGCTGGAGCTCCAATTTTCAGGAAAAGTTGTAAAAATTGCTGAAATTTAGCATATAGCACAACTGTTGGAGTTGCTCTTACTTTTTCGGGTTTTTTGAAATATAATGGAATTAGTTTTTTCTTAATTTCAAGAAATAAAAGATTGTTATTTTTTTTTGTATGAATTTCGATTTGCGATTTCCATTCTAGTCACACGAGAGACGTATAGAACAACGAGTTTTTGGGCATAAGGGAGGAAGAAGAAGCTTGGATGCTTCTTGTTGTGGGTTTTTTGAATGTCAAGTTTGATTAAACAAAGGGATTAAGTTCTGTTTGATAGTGGATTAGTTTCAAATGGTGAGATTAGTGTAACCGAAAGCTGATTTATATTAAATAATTAAGAAGATTTTTTTTGTGAGTGATTTAGTTGCAAACATGGGGCTGTTGGGGCTAAGGAATGACCAGTTCTGACCAGAAGTTGACCTGGTTAATTAAACTAATCATGTTTAATGTGGTCTTAATTATCACGCGCTTTATGTGTCTCAAAGCAACTTAACAAAGCAATAAAAGCTTCTCGTGAGCTTTTATTTATTTATCTATTTATTATTTATTATTTAATTGAGATATGAAAATAAAATATGTAATAAAAGGTGTGTTGGTAAGGGTGACAATGTGTAATAGTTACATTTGGGTCGGGTTTGAATAAGCCAAATAGTTTTGAAACGGGTAATGAGTTTAAGCTTTTAAAATTTGGTGGTTTTGGGTTGAGTAACGAGTCTTATAAGAATCGATCAAAAACTAAATTATATATATAAATATTATTTATTATGTATCTAATAATTGACTTTTTTATTTATTAAAAACTAAGTTACGATGTTCAATTCTCGAAAAAATTGGACTCTCCATCTTTTACAATCTTTCATTTCAAAAAAGTAAAATTCGACTTTTGGGTACTCTTATAGCTGGACACGGGTTCTAACGATCGAGCTTTGACTTCGTCTTTTTTTGGCTTTCTCTATTCCCAACGCTCGAGCGTCAGAGATTTTGCATGAACATCAACTTTAAGTTCGATTTTAACCTTCTTCCTATCCAAATTCAGAAAATAAGGTCAAGCATGAAAGTTATAGTAGCAAATTTAGTTCGATTTCTAATATCACTTGAATCAAATCAATTGTGGTTAAAACTGTGGATACTGCCAAATCTGTTACGATATTTCTTCTTCAGAAGTTGATTTTCCTTTCGAATTCACATTTTTCACCCATTACTCATCTACTTAATTCTATTTATCCATAAAATGAATAAGAATATATACGAAAAACACATAAAACTAATAAAAATAATGAAGAACCCAACACTAAAATAAACTTAAATCGTATATAAAAACAAAACTGCTACATTTATCTCTTCAGAAGTGCACATTAAGCATAAAATTCACAAAATCACTTTCAGATGGAATCCCCCTCCAGTTCACTGATTTAAACTTAATATCGATGGATCAACTTTCAAGAATTTTGACCACTTCTGTCATTGACCGCCGATCAATAATGTTAACTTTGTTTCTTTTCTGAAACTTTTCTTCGCCGCCGTTAACCGCCGATCAATGGCGTGACTTTTCTACCTAATTTTTTTTTTCCCGTAATTTCACAGGAGTTTTACCACCCATCGACGTCATTGATTTATTTTTTATTATACTAATTTGTGTGTTAGTTTATAATTGCATATTTGACTGTTTAAATAAAGGGGTACATATCTGTTTAAATAAAGGGGTACATAAAAAATAATGTCATACTCCCTTTTTTTTCATTTTATTTGTCTTTCTAGAAAAAAAATTTATTTTAAAATAATTGTCACTTTAGGATTCAAACGAACTATTTATTGTGTTTTTTTCAATTATGCCCTTACTACTCTTAAAAAATTAATGATAAAACATTTATGAAAGCGGGTTTTTAGTCATTTTTAATGATTTTTTCAAAAACATGCATATTTATTAATTTTCTTATTATTTGTGAATTAACCTAAAACGACAATTAAAATGGGAATGAGGGAATACTAAATTGTTATTTATGAGCCTATTAATAATATCCAATAATATATTTCAACAAAATAAAGTTACTAAAAGATCATAATTAAAATCAGTAGCATGCATTACATACTTAATTCTTCTACTTATATTTTATTATTTTACAAAAACATAAATCAAAATTAAAGCCAAAAACCCAACACATGATATAAAAAGCACGTGTCCAAATTATTTGACTAATACACACTAATTTAGTAGTACGAATATCCCTTTAAAAAGTTCTATCGTACGCCAGAATCTTATTTGTCTTTTTTGGTAGGGGACTATCGTACGCAGGGGTCAAAATCTTATTAAACGGAGTAACTCCAGAGCTCCACCTCAGCATCGCTCTCCACGTCATCCCAATTGAAAGTCCACGGCGGCGGCGGCAACGGCGACATCAGAGCTCCCTCCGCCGCTCCCCCGATACCCAAATCACCACTCATCTCAAAAACACCGGAGTTCATAGCCCGAGACTCGTCCTCCTCCGCCGCCGCCGCCACATTCTGATTCACCAAAACCTCTTCCGCCGCCGCTGCCGCCGGCGGCGGAGGGGGGCGAAACGCCTCCGCAGCCTCGACGGCGGCCTTGCGGATGTCCTTGGGGTCGGTCGACGCCGGCACCGGCAGCCGCCACACGGAGTCGGCGAAGTTGAGGCAGGCGGCCTGCCCCCGGAGCGCCAGCGCCGCCACGTCGTGAGCCCTGGCGGCCATCTCCGCCGTGGGGTAGGTACCAAGCCATATCCGGTTCTGCTTGGTGGGCTCGCGCAGCTCGCAGACCCACCTGTCGGAGTTCCTCCGCCGCACGCCGCGGTAGACGGGGTGGCGCGTCTCCTTGAACTTCTTCCTGCCGGCGCGCTTCTTCGGGTGGCTGGACGCCAGGATCACCTCCTCGTCGGAGTGCGAATTCTTGAAAGAATCCATTATTTTATTTAATTTATTATTAAATATATTTAATCTGTGAATTTAATTTGAAGCCTGAGAAAAAAAGATCAAAGTGTGAGAATTTATATTTAATTTTGGTGGGAAAGGATACGAGATGGACACGCAGTGTATGTGGGGATGCCAGCCTGGCAGGAATTGGTAAGCTGGATTCAAATAGCTTGATCAAGAAGGCTTAATAGTGGGGCCCACACTTAAATGAAAACGTGCTTCTATATTCTTATGTCGCAATTGTTTATCATTTTAATGAGTATTAAGAAGTAACGACACACTTATTTTATGTTTCAACCGAGGGAAATCCTACGTGTAAAAGAAAGAAACGTTGAGCAGTCCTAAAAAACCTTAATAGTATTTTTATAATTATTTATTTTTAATATTTTTTTCTATAATTTTTAAACCAACCCATCTATCAAAAGTTGGTTGACCGATAATTATCGATCAACCAACTATATTATTATTTTTTTATTAAAGTATAAAATAAAATGTGTGTTTTCTTAATTGCTTTGAATTTCTTAATTATAATTTTTTTGTCAAATTGTTATCAATTATTTTAAACTGATAAAAGATGATCGCGTAGTGGTATTACGCATAATGTGCATATTTTTACTTCAGAATTTGATTTTTTTAAGTGAACTAGGTGTCGGGCATAATCCATCATCTGACCCATTCTGGAACCAAATATTCGGGTGTCAACCATCAACCGACCCACATAGGTTGAGTCGGCAACGGTTTTCAAATTTGAAAATTGGTAGGATGGGTCGGGTTTTAGGCTGATAATCGACCGACCCAACCCAATTTCAGCCCTACCGACAATTGTAAGATCCTATGAAAATTTAAAAATCTTAATTATGAAACAATCGAAATACAAAAAATGGCCCAACTTCAAAAAATTTATTTTCCCAAGATAAATTAGAAGTGATTAAAATTAGTTTTTTATTACAAAAACTGTGAACTATGTAAGAATGGCTAGATAAAAGATAATGGTTTTTTTATGCAAGAAAAGCCTTGTTTTTCTACCGATCAAAGAAAGTTCTTGAATGATGGTTTTTTACACAAGAATATTCCGAGATGATTCGAGTTGATGTATTGCTGACCCCATCAGAGGTAATAGGGGGGTTGCGGAGCCCCCAAGAATTTTTTAATTTTTTTCAAGGTTGTAAAAAGCAGTAATTGGGTTCGAGTCGGTCAGGCACCGACTCACGATTAATCGGTGCGGCGATGATTAATCGGTGATAAATCGGAAATAAATCGCTTTTTAAATTTAATATAATATATTTCTAAGGATTATTTATAAATACTCCAAACATATATAAAAAGATTTAAACATAGTTATATCTCCATCATGTATATATCCTAATAACATAATAAAAGTTTAATAATTATAAGATCATAATACATAAATATCCTTATAAAATATAAATAAAAAAACAATCTTTTTGAATTTACATTTATTTCATGAACATTGTTGGCATACATCATTAGTTCTTTAACAATAACAATTAACATAAACAAAATAAGGCATAAACTCATATTTTCTTTTATTAAAATCTAACTTTTATTTTGAATTAAAAAAAAAAAAGAAAACGCCGATTTTTGACCGATTTTTGTCACCGAGTTTGACCCGCCTGAAAGGTTTGACCGCCTCAGATCGCCTAATACCGCCTCACAGGCAAAAAACCGATTTTTCAAACATTTACATTAAAATCGTAAAGGTTTTAGACCGCCTCCGCCTCGGAGACCGATTAATCGGCCGCCTCGGCCGATTTTTAGAACACTGATTTCTTTTTAGTAATTTTGAGTAATATTTTTAAAATATAGGTTTTGGCCCCTCAATCTTTTGTAAATATGAGTTTTGACCCTTTATTTTTTTATTTTTTCTCTATTCTTTCAAGTAAATTTATATACTTTTACTTATTAACTGAAACCGAAATCCAAACCAAAACCGAAATATGAGTTTTGACCCTTTTTGCTTCTTTTTTAATGAATTACTCCAAAAAAAATCGGGGGCGATGCTCCCGAATCCCTTCAAATTTTAATCACCCTCCGTGGATTAATTCATAAAAACCTGACCCCTAATTAGATTTCCTGTTCCGCCCCTAGAGGTAATTGTGGTTTTGATATTAGGTTTTTCTTGAATATTCATTATGCTCCCATCATAATCTTACAAGATGAGCTAGAATAAATTATCAAAATTATTTTTGTAAATAATATGGGATGTGCGGAAATATATTTTTGACCATTTGTTGGGTGACACTACGTATACTCTTGTGATAAATGTCTTGCCATGGCTGCAATTTTTGAAATATTATTGAATATAGATTATGATTTTAAATTATAGGGTAAATTACAAACACCCCCCTGAGGTATGACCAAATTACAAAAACACCCCTCTTGTTTGGATAATTACAACCACCCCCTCAACTCATCAAATTTAGTGGAATCTTCGAGATTATATGGAATATTATCACTTTTTTACCCGTTTTATCTCATTCAAACTCTACATTATGAAGCAAGATGACCATAATATGTGATTTTTAGCTTGTATATATCAGTTTGTGGTGCATCGAAAACTGTATTTTTTACACAAAGAGTACAAACTAGAGCACATTTCACGGAATCTAGATGACTATGTTGAATTTGGCACCATAAAGGTAAGAAAAAATCATAGTTGAGGGGGGTAGATGTAATTATCCAAACAAGAGGGGGGTTTTTGTAATTTAACCATACCTCAGGGGGTGTTTGTAATTTACCCATTATATGTTTATGCCTCATTTGGATGGGAATCGCGATCAACCATTGTTAACTAAATAGTTAGATTTTGTTTAATGTTTGTAATAACTTATCGGAGTCGCCTGTAAATATTATGTTATCATGAGTACTTATCCTGTTTTCTAGGTATGTCTTCATTGAATCTTCCAAAATTCAATAATACAATTGAATTTCATTAGATTATTTAATCTTATCTTAACTAATCTTATATTGGCAACCAAACGAGGCATTAATGACTAGTAGCTTGGGAGAATGAAAACTATCAAATAATTCCCAAAATTTACAAAAGACGTATCATTGACAAATTATGACCACCCCTGAGGTATGACTAAATTACCAAAAATTCATTTTGTTTGGGCAATTACAGCCACCACCTTCTTTTATATTTTTTTACATAAAATTTATGCAATTTAGGTTATTTACCGAATCAATCGTATATTCAGTAAAACCGGGAGTCTTTTTGCTTTTGGTTGTGCTTTTTGTTGTCGTCGTGTTTTGTTTGTGTTTCGTTTCTTCTCGTCGTTGTTGTTCTTCTTTTTTTTTCGTTTTTTTTTTTTGTGTTTTTTTTGTTGTGTTTACCGGCCCTATTTGGGGGATTCTGGGGTGTCGGTCCGATATAAGCGTTTGGGGTTTTTGTCCATTTTGGGCGGCGGGGTTTTTATTGCGGGGAATAATCTCAATTCCGAGTCACAGGGTCGGCAATTGGGCGCCCGGGGTGGCTAATCCGAAAGCATTGTTGGGAAATAAGCCCAACGTGAGAAAAGGGGAAAGGATGAGGAATGGGTAATTACGAACCAAGAGAAATCGGTTCGGAGCGGTATAAGGGGGGCAACCGAATTTCGATCGGATGTTACGGATTAACATCTCGAGATAACCTTTGGAAGATTTTTTTTCGTAAGATAAAACATACTTGAGGGAGTGGCGGTAATTACGCAAACATGAGGGTGATTTTCGTAATTGGCGCATAGCTCGTGAAAGTGCCCGTAATTGGCACTTTTGGGAGTGCATTTCAAAGCAGCACGTGTATCGACATGATAGTGATACTAATCTTTAGTATTAGTGAGGTATAATAAGTAATAGAAAAAAGTATAGTATAAATTAATTATATATACCACGTAAAAAACGTGTGAAATGTGGGGGCACTTATTAATTACTCCATGTTCGTCCTGATGTTTAAATTAGGTGATGTGTGACAACCAATTTTGCAGTGTAATATGATGGAACTAATTAATGTATTTGTGTGGGGTACGAACAACTTCCCAATATTGAGTTAAAGCAGTGTCCAATATGAGTTAGCTACTTTTGGCTGAAAATATATAGGGCTAAATACACTTTGCACCCTTAAACTATAGGGTGGTAACACTTACCCCCTTAAAGTTACAAATGTAACACTTACCCCCCTCATTAATGAATTTAATGATAAAACTTTGACTTTGAATGATGTGGTATTTTTTCTTCCCAAATTGTCCTTCTAGCTATTATATTGATGCATATATAATAAAATATTTTCAATAATATTTCAAAAACTAAAATTTATAAAATAAAATAATTATTAAAAAAATATTTTGATTTATATTTAACTCCACATTTTAATTACTATAGATCATAATATAAATAAAAATCTCAATATTTTAAAAAATATATAAAATACGTTAAACATTCACAAGAAAAAAATATTCAAGACTTAAATGGTCAATTTTTTTATAATAATTATTGATTTGAAAATTTATTTAAGTTACTTAGATATAAATTTTAATAAAATAATATTTAAATATTTAGACGTTTAAAATATAATTTCTTATTAACTTTTGAATACATTTTGTGATTCTCAAAGTAAAAAGTGAGATGATTATATTAGAGTCATATACGCATTAAAATAACTATATAAACTATAAAATTATAATTAAAATTCGAATCGTTAACTTTTTATTAGGTACAAATGAACATAAGGTAAAACAAAAATAAACTAAAATTCAATTTTTTTTATTCATAAATTTACAATATTGAAATAATAAAATTAAGTTTTGGCAAAGTTGCCGAATTTTTTCTTATTACATATTCATTATTTATTTAATGGCTAGAAGGACAATTTGGAAAAAAAAAAATGCCACATCATTCAAAGTCAAAGTTATACCTTTAAATTCATTAATGAGGGGGGTAAGTGTTACATTTGTAACTTTAAGGGGGTAAGTGTTACCACCCTTGTAGTTTAAGGGTGCAAACTGTATTTAGC